GGTAAATCCATAGAGACAGAAAGCAGATTAGTCCTTGCTGAGGGGTGAGGGAAGGGGGTACGGGAGTGAGTGCTTAATGGGTAGGGGTTTCCATTTGGGGTGGTAAAAGTCTTGGAACTAGATTGTGGTGACGTCTGTGCAACTTTGCGAAGGTTACTCATGCCACTCAGCTGGACACTTTAAAATGGTTAAAATGGTAAATTGTATGTTATGTGTATTTTACCACAATAAAAAAAAATCATCGACAAAACACATAAATGCATGCCCAAGAAGGTGGCCTGCAGGGCATGAGACCCCAGTAATAAGAGGAAGGAGAGGACACAGACAGGAGCAGATGGAGAGTCACTGCCTGCACGGAGACGGCCGCATGGAGCTACAGGTTCCCCACACCCACAGTGAGCCATCCAAACGACCTTCCAAGTGTCCCGGAAAGAACATCTGCTGGCCAGGAGCGCACAAAGCCATCAGAAGACAGTATGGATCAAACAAGAGGCTTCCTGCCCCCGTTTTCCCTCCTTCCTCCCCCTGCTTGGGCCTGGGTGGGGTCAGACGCAGCACCCACTGAGAAAAAGGTGAATGAGGGAAAGAAATGGTCAGCAAGTAGCAGAGGGAGAGGAGGAGATTTGAATTTCACCTAAATTCAAATTAAATTCAAATCAAGACAATTTCAGTAATGGAGCCAGGGCTGGTTTATGACTTAAAGTGACCCTAGGACTTTCATGACTCAGATGGATAAAAAACATCATGTTTGCTGGAGTTTCAAACAGGGGCAAGGGCAGGACTTTACTGGGCTACACTGGCATCACGGTGACGGGGGGAGGAGCCACCGTGTCCCAACAGTTTAAGAAACCATATTATTCTGCTTAATGGTATCAGAAGGACCATAGAAATTCCTTCCTACAATTACATTGACTCCGTCAACTGCTGAACAAGTGAAAGAGGGTCCGTGGTGCTGCTGTTAGTTGCTGTTGACTCGGCTCCAACCCATGGCCACCCCATGTTCCACAGAATGAAACGCTGCCCGCTTGTGCGCCATCTGCATGATCATTAGTATGCTGAGTCCACTGTACACATACGGGGAGAATGGCATCTACGGCTTTCATCAGATCATCAAAGGGGTCCTTGACTCAGAACAGTATTCAACCCGGGGGTCTAATGATGGGCTGGTGATGTGACACAAGATGGTATCACTTTGGAGAAAGATCGGGCCTTGAGGCATGTATTTGGGAAGCTTCTCTGCATAGAGGGGAGAGGAGAGCTGGGTCATTCTTCTCAAATTCTTTCACTGATGAACCTCAGCTGCAGAGGGCTGTGTACACACAGTGCGGGGTGAGGAGCAGGCTCTCTACAGGTTTAACTCAAGCCCCAGGAAGCCCAGCAATGTTTATCCTATGGCTTTGAGTCACCTTCCCCAATCCCCCCACACAATAATGCACCAGCTGTCCACCATTCCCCTGGTGGTGCAGTGGTTAAGGGCTCATCTGCTAACCGACAGATCAAGGGTTCAAACTCACCAGCCACTCTGAGGGAGAAAGATGTGGCAATCTGATTCCATAAAGATTACAGCCTAGGAAACTCTATGGGGCAGTTATACTTTGTCACATGGGGTCATTATGAATCAAAATCGACTCAATGGCAACAGGTTTTTGGGTCCACCATTGCCAGGGCGGACAGCATGGACAAAGGCTACCCATCCTGGGAAAGACAGAGGTTTCCAAGGCAGCAAGTACAGAACAAAGATCAAATTCTAAGGGGGCCCAGATGGTCAAATACTGTCTAGAGACATGTTGCTTGACTCCTGTAGTTGCAAAGAAGAGGAATTTATTGCCAACATTTAAAAAGTCAGGAGATTTCACAAAAGGATCTTGATTTGTGGTTTCTCTTAAAAATCTGAGGACTGACAACATAGGACCTGCACTTACCCCCTAGACTCCTACCCCACCAGCACCATCAAGTAAGGTTGGGGGAAGTTGCCTCTATGGCGGGGCAGATGTTCTTCAGTTTCCCATGGGGCCATGAGGCCCAGTTGCCTTACACTTGCCCCCTGCGCTCTTTAATACACCTGCCCGCTCTCTACACATGAAACTCTGGTGCAGACGAAGAAGAGCAGAGGACTAACAGAAAACCCTGGGAAATAGCCATTTACTCAGAAGGAGAAAATAGATACCTAGAAGAAACAAGATCCCCAGGTGGTGCAAGAATTCTGCACTCAGCTACTAACCTAAAGGTTAGTGGTTAGAACCTACCCAATGGCACTGCGGAAGAAAGGCCTGGCAATCTACTCCCATAAAGATTACAGCCAAGAAAACCCTGTGGAGCAATTCTACTCTGCACACACAGGGTCACCATGAGTTGCAATCATCTCGACAGCAACAGGTTTAGATTTCTGGTAGGAAGAAACAGGGAAAGAACTAAAAGAGAAAGGCCAGAAATTTCCTTAATGCAAAACCTCCTACATCACAGGGTGGGGCTGGGGAAAGATACCATGTCCTAACAGTTTAAGGAGCCATATTGAGTCTGCTTAATGATATCAGAAGGACCATAAAAATTCCTTCCTATAATTACATATCTCCATCAGCTGTTAACAAATTAAGCATTTCATAAGTTATGATACATTAAAAAGATTGTACACATCAGAGATGCATGCAATATTAATGACCCATGATCACAACTCTATTTTCTTGAGCCTTTTTAAAGTGCATATTAATCACCTGTTAACGTTACTGTAACTCATTAAATGCAAGCTAACTATTCACTCAGCGTCCCACGTATGTGCAGAGATAGGAATGATGGATGTTTTCTGGGCACCCCAAGCGCTGCTCTGTAACCTCCTCTTTCCCTCTGTTGTTAACACTTAAACCTTTGTGATCTTTTCATTATCGGTCAGGGCTGCAGGTCAGCCTCCCTGTATGGCCAGGAGGACACTTTGGAGGAAGCATCGTTTGGCCAAAAATACGCAACTCACTGTCAGTCTATCCTTTGAGCTTCATTCCTTCGAGTTCTGGAGGCCAAGAAGTCCTCAAATACTCCCCACTAAAGTTTAAATATTGCTGATGGTTATGCTTTGGTTATTCAGATAAGGCCTTAGTCATCAGTCTGCCTTATTCTTTACAAAGAGCCGAGAGTATGAGCCTGTAGCCCTGCATAAAAGATGAAGGTCTGGGCTGGGATGGGAACAAAACCTACAAGGCAGCTCCCACTGAGGGAGTCAGCGGACCCAAAAGATTAAAACCAAAACCCATCGCCATCGAGCTGATGCTGACTCAAGGCGAGCCCATGTGTGCAGAACAGAACTGTGCTCCATAGGGTTTTCATGGCTGTGACCTTTCTGAAGCAGACTGGAAGGTCTTTTTTCCAAGGCACCTCTGGGTGGGTTTTAACGGCCAACTTTTCAGTTAATATTCGAGCACTTAACCACTTACACTACCCAGGTAACACCCAAAAGATAACCTTTCCTACTTCACAAGTTTGCCCATAGGTGAGTCCAATATAATTCTCCAGTTTTCAATTCGAGCAAGAAAATAAGAGAACTCTTGCTTACCAAAAATGTGTAAACTGAGAAAGAACTTCCTAGCTATCTGTAAAAGGTTCTCACTCCTATTCCACAGTTCCTTCTTGCTATCCCTCTTTACACCAACAAACACTTCCTTCAAAATTAGGCAAAGGTGAGGAGGCCTTCCCCCACCTCTTCTGATTGAGTCTGGCCCTCAAATAGTACTCACAGGAGCTCAGTGTTGAACTATAACTCACCTATCAATGTGGCTGAAAATCAGAGCATCCGTGGCGGGCTGAATACTGGTCTCCCAAATATAGCCACATCCTGATCTCCAGAACCTGTGAATGCTGCTTTATTTGGGAAAAGGAATTTTGCAGATGTGATTAATCTTGACATGAGGAGACTGTCCTGAATTATCCAGCTGAACCCTAAATGTAATCATAAGGGTTCTGGTAAGGGGGCAGTAAGAAGGTTAAGGAGGGAGGAGGCCATATGATGATGGAGGCAGGGAGAGAAACGATGAAATGATGTGGCTACAAGCCAAGGAATGAGGACAGCCTCTAGCAGCTGGAAAAAGCAAGGAAACACATTCTCCTCAGGAGCCTCTGGAAGGAGTCAGCCTGCCGACACCTTGATTTTAGCCTCCATAAGGCCCACTGGAGACTTCTGACCTCCAGAACTACAGGGAAATAAATCCGTGTTGTTTTATGACGTTAAGTTTGTGGTAAATTGTTACAGCAGCCACAGGAAAGTGAGACGGAATCAAAATCAACAATCTTAGTCCAACATCCTTTGTATTTGAGCTTCCCAACTGGTATGCAATGAGACACTGATCTCCTGTACCAAGAGGCAACTGGGTGTGAACTGGGCGAGATCTACATGGAGCTCCCAAAAGGCCCTCCAGTTACCCCAAGGTGCTGCATGAATATTCTCCTTTTCTATGAGCACTAGGCTGATAACCAAAAGGTTGTCGGTTCAAATCCACGTAGAGGTGCCTTGGAAGAAAGGCCTGGTGATCTACTTCTGAAATATCAGCCACTGAAAATGCACATCGAGTCGCCATGAGTTTGGTGGTAACTGTTTTTTTGTTGCTGTTGTTTGTTTTTTTAATGTGTCCCTGTATCATGACAAAGGGTGGAAAGCACAGCCAACAATACAAGGCTTCAAGTATGAAACAGCCCCAGAAATTAATACCTTTCAAACCTGATACTTAAAACTCCTAAATACAGTGCATCATATATGAGGAAGAATAAAAAAGTGTGAACATTACTGTTATTGTACTGCTGTTTGATAAGCTGCATTTGAAAACTTTAGCTGAAGGAGCAAAATGCAACGCCCTTCCTCAGCAAGAAAACCACAATCCTAAGATATCTGCAGTACAGGAGTTGTTTTCAACCCTGGTACTCCACCCCAGAGGCAGTCTGTCCCAGGCTCCCCCAAGAACTGCCCTTCTTAACCCCGGATTTTGGAGACAGACTGGCCTCGAAACCTGCTTTCTACAGACCTGATGGGGAGAGAAGGGTCTCCGGCGTCCCACCAGTCTTTTGGGGGGCTGATGTACATGCACCACAGCTCCCAGCTGTACCCATGGGCCGAGTTCTCGTACCGCTGCACCTCGAAGTTGTCCTGTTTGATGTTGTCGATGGAGGGAAGGATCACTCGCTTTCGGTTTTCCTGGATTCGGGACAGAACTGGCTCAGCCCTGCAACAGAGAAGTAGAAATAAAATCTCTTTCCTGAGGCAACTGCACTCCTCAATTGGCACAGAATAAATAGAAGCAACAAAGCTAAAGGCTGGTGTTATGGATTGAATTAAAACCAGTAAAAAAAAAAAAAAACCCAGTTGCTGGACTAAACCAAAGCTAAGAAGTTTCCTGAATACAACCAAACACTTAGGAGGGACAGCGTAGCAGGGGTGGGGGTCTGGGGACCATGATTTCAGGGGACATCTAGGTCAATTGGCATAACAAAGTTTATTAAGAAAATGTTCTACATACCACTTTGGTGAGTGGTGTCTGGGGTCTTAAAAGCTAGCGAGTGGCCATCTAAGATGCATCAATTGGTCCCAACCCACCTGGAGTAAAGGAGAACGAAGAACACCAAAGACACAAGGAAAATATTAGCCCAAGAGACAGAAGGGCCACATAAACCAGAGACTCCATCAGCCTGAGACCAGAAGAACTAGATGGTGCCTGGCTACCACCAGTGACCGCCCTGACAGGGAACACAACAGAGTCCCTGATGGAGCAGGAGAAAAGTGGGCTGCAGCTCTTAAATTCTAGTAAAAAGACCAGAATTAATGGTTTGACTGAGACTGGAGGGACGCCAGAAGACATGGCCCCCAGACTCTCTGTTAGCCCAAAACTAAAACCATTCCTGAGGCCAATTCTTTAGACAAAGATTAGACTAGACTATGGGACATAAAATGATACTCATGAAGAGTGTGCTTCTTAGCTCAAGTAGATACATGAGACTAAATGGGCAGCTCCTGTCCAGAGGCGAGATGAGAAAGTAGAGAGGGTCAGAAGCTGGTTGAACAGACACAGGAAATCTGGGGTGGAAAGGAGGAGTGTGCTGTCACGGTACAGGGAGACCAACTAGGGTACACATAACAATGCATGTATAAATTTTTGTATGAGAAACTAACTTGAATTATAAACTTTCACTTAAAGCACAATAGAGAAACAAATAAAACTCAGTTGCTGTCAAGTCAATCCTGACTCATGGTGACCCCGTGTGTGTCAGAGTAGAACTGTGTTCCACAGGGTTTCCAATGGCTGATTTTTTGGAAGTAAATTGCCAGGCCTTTCTTCTGAGGTACCTCTGGGTGGATTTGAACCTCCAATCTTTTGGTTAGCAGCCAAGTGTGTTAACCATTTGCCCCACCCGAGAGGCTCACATGGATTGAATTATGCACCCCAAAAAGATATGCTGAAGTCCTAACCCCTGTACCTGTGGATGTGACCCTGTTTGGAAATAGGATTATTCTTTTTTATGTTAATGAGCTTCATACAAGAGTAGGATGGATCCCAAACCTAATCCCTTCTGAGTCGAACAAACACAGAGACATACACGGGGGAAGGGCCCATGTAAAGATTTATCTACAAGCCAAGGGCTACTAACAGCTAAGGTGCTTCCCTTAGAGCCAATCACCTGGAGTGGACTTCTAGCCTTGAAAATGGTGAGACAATACATTTCTGTTCTTTAAAGTCACCTGCTTGTGCTATTTTGTTATGGCTGCACTAGACAACTAAGATATTGGGCTTTGAGCAGTCTGGAACCCAGATGGAAACTGAGGCTCAATCGAGCTGAGTGACCTGTCCAGTAGGATCATGCAGCTTAAAGCAAATGCTGTGAAAAGTAGCACGCAGAGCAGCCTGCGAGCTCGTGCCCTAGCCCTTGTGGAATCTATGTCGTGATGCCCACCTCAGCATGAGACGCCTGGAGCAAGAATTCAGAACAAGGTGCCCGCAGATCCACAGACAGTGCCAGGGCTCTCCTTTCTACCTGAGGGCACAAGCCTCCCTCCCTCCGTGATTTGCATTGCAGGGCATTTCTATAGCGTTTTAAGTTTCCCCTCAAAAGGCAATGACTGACGCCTTTTGTTTTTTCTGCTGGCTCCCAATTCCCTTTCCCAAAATAGGTCACTTCTGCCCCTGATGGCCTGGTTTTAATAAGCATCTCACCAGCTCCTCTGTGTGTGTGACTATTTCCGTTGTTTTAATTGATTATTTAATTGATTTCTTAAAAGGGATCTAATTGAATTGGTTAGCATGGAAGGCTGGGAGCTAATTAAATGCAAAGGCAGACAGGATCCTGCCCCCCAGCAAGCCTCCCCGTCTTGGGGCTGCAGCAGGCCTCAGGTGGGCTCTAACTCCAGTCTGCCAGCAGCTCTGCTGTCTTAGGAGACAGCTCAGGGCCAGATATGTCTGCCCAGTGTGCGTTTCCAACAAAGGGATCATATCCCAGATTTGGGAAGGGAAAGATGGCTCTCATAAACCAGGGTATTAATCTCTCTGCTTAGAACAGAGCACAGACTTTGGAAAAGAACTAAGAGAAAATACCATTCCTCTGCATTATTTGGAAGAATAATGAGAATGCCTGCCCTATAACCCATCTCTTCTCATTTGCAGAGACTGAATTACCTGTTGGCTCATCTCATCCTTCCATTTAAAATGGGCCGTAAAACATGCTGGGCCATTTACTGCTGCCAATACTTTTGCACATACCATATAGGTGGACGCCAAATGGGGCTGACTTCTCACAGCTTCCTAGGTGTGCTTTTGAGCTTGGCCATCTCCAAGTCTTCACTGGTGATCTCTCCTCTGGGAATGCCTCTGGTCATGTGCAGAAGGCCTAGCCACCTAGCGAGGCTGGACTAGCGGCCACATCTCCCAAGAAGTGTTCCTGAACTTTCTGGAGTAGGCAGGCTCTCATCCTCCTCTAAACTCTCAGACCACTTTCTCCACCTTATTCACAACACAGTGTCTACATGCTGCCCTCACTCATCTTTGAACATATGTTAGTTTTCCTCAAGAGCTAATAATGAATACTATCATTAGCTGCTGTCGAGTTGGCCCTTGACTCATGGCGGCTCCATGTACAACACAATGAAACACTGCCCCGTCCTGTGTCATCTCCACAATCAGCTGCAGATTGGACCGTTGTGATCCACAGGGTTTTCACTGGCTGATATTCAGAAGGAGATTTCCAGGCCTTTCTTCCTAGACCATCTGTCTAGAAGTTCCGCTGAAACCTTTTTAGCATCATAGCAACACACAAGCCTCCACGGACGGACAGGTAGTGGCTGTGCTAGAGGTGCACTGGACAGGAATCAAACCCGGGACTTGTGCATGGAAGGCAGGAATTGTACCACTGAACCACCACTCCCAGAGCTAATAATAGGTTCTATATACTATGTGAAGCCCTGGCAGTGTAGTGGGTAAGCTTTCAACCACTAACCAAAAGCATGGCAGTTCGAATCCGCCAGCTGCTCCTTGGCAACCCTATGGGACAGTTCTACTCTGTCCTATAGGGTCACTATGAGTTTGAATCAACTCGATGGCAATGGGTTTGGTTTTTTTTATATATTGAGCACTTATTACTGCTAGGGACCATTCAAAACATTAATATTTTACATACATTGACTAATGTAATCCCATGACAACTGCATGAGGTAGATACTATTACCACCTTTTTTACCAATGAGGAAACTGAGGCCCAGGAAGCTTAAGTAACTTGCCCCAGCCCCAGCCACCTGGGGGCAGAACCAGGGTTCTACCTCCGATGGTCTGGCTTCAGGCCTAACCTCTACACTGCACTGCCTCCTGAAGGCAGGGGCCACTAGCTCTCCCCAGGCCTGGCCTGGTGCTGTGTATACAGAAACCATGGGTTCAGCCCCTCACAGTGTGGTGAAGAGCTACCGAACACAGTTTCCAAATAATGCTGCTGAAGCTAAGGAGTCTGATCTTATGGTCTGTGATAGAATGTGTAACTATCTTAGTTACCTAGTGCTGCTATAACAGAAATACCACAAGTGGGTGGCTTTAAAGAACAGAAATTTATTTTCTCACAGATCTGCAGGCTAAATGTGCAAATTGGGTCTTGGCTGTGTTGATTCCGTCTTTGGGCTCCCTCCACGTTTCTGGGTGACTACCAGCAATCCTCAGCATTCCTTTGATTGCAGACAATCCTCACTTGGTGTCTGTTTTCCCTGTGCGTGTCTCTGTGTCTATTCTGCTCTTTTTATAGCCCAGAAGGGATTAGCTTTAGGACCCAACCAACTCTGGTATGACCTCATTAACACACCAAAAGAAAAACCCTATTTCCAAAAAAGATCACATCCACAGGTACAGGGGCAACGACTTCAGTACATATTTTGGGGGACAGAAGTCGATCCATAGCAATAACTGTGTCCAATTATTTGCTCTCCTCCCTGGTGGCCTGCAGCACTTCCCTGTAGAAGAGTACACTCTCCCCCTCACCTCCAATCAATGTTTGCCTTGGACACATGACTTGCTTTGGCCAATGGACTGCGAGCAGGAGTGACATATATCATATCTGAGTAGAACTCTAACAGCCACTGGAAGTTTCAGCCACTGTTCTATTCTCTGAGCCACAAAAACAGACGTCCTAGACAGGATGAAGCAGAGTCACAGACAGACAACCTGCAACTGTCATACCACACAGACTAGACATGAATCTTTGTTGCCATAAATTGCTGAGACTGGGGGTGGTTTATTGCCACAATATAACCCAGTAGAAGTCAGGGCACACTATCTACCTTGTGAAGGGGAATTTCAAGAGGGTTTTAATGCAGAGAGGGACAGACGCCGCTCAGGTAGCAACGTGGAAGATGAGTCTTAAGGGCTCAGTCTGGAGTCGCAGAGATCAGCAAGAATTAAACCGAAGGCCACTAGAGGGCAGACACCAAGTCTTGCCAGACTGTGAACTCCAGCTAGGGTTTGTCCAGGGCTGTTCTGGTTTTACCACTGGAAACACTGCATTCTGGAAAACCCCTCAGTCCTAGAAAAACTGGGACAGTTGGTCACTCAAACCGCAGCTGAGAAGAGTGCCTGGAACTTGGTGGACATCCAAAAACTACGTGCGAAAAGAATGAATTCAGGCAGTTACTGCATTTGTTTAGGTAAAAGAAAATAATGGAGGTCTGAGCTAGGAGAGAAGTTCCTGGGTGGCGCAATTG